GCCTGAGAGCGTAGAGTTCTCTCTCGTACGTGGAGGTAGCAACCTTCTCACAGGGCATCCTCACTGACATGAACTCTACGGGTCTATAACCATTGTCGTCGTCTTGCTGCAACACGGCGCCTATCCCATACTGACTCGCGTCCGTGGTAACGACAAATGGCAAGGATGGATCTGCTACTTTGAGGACAGGATATTCTATTAATGCGCGCTTTAACTTCTTGAGCGCAGACGTACAGTCTTTATCCCATTGCCAGATTGCCTCTTTCTTTAGCAGTCTGCGCAAGGGGGCGGCGATAGTGGAGAAGTTCCTCACGAACTTCCTATAGTAATTAGCTAAGCCTAGGAACGACCGTAACGCTGTTAGTGTGCGGGGCGTCGGCCAGTCTCTAATCGCCGCGATCTTGCTGTCCTCTGGCTTAATGCCATCTCCGTCCAACACGTGGCCCAAGTACAAGACTTGCGTCTTGGCCCACTCGCACTTCTTCGCGTTGATCTTGAAGTTAGCCTCTCTAAGTTTCTCCAAGACTTGCCTCAGATGACCGTGGTGCTCTTGGAGGGTCTTACTAAAAACTAGAATATCATCTAGATAAACTACCACAAATTTGTCTAACCACGGTCTAAACAGGTCATTCATACAACGCTGAAAAGTAGCTGGCGCGTTGGTTAGTCCAAAGGGCATCACTATGAACTCATAATGCCCGTATCTCGTCCAGAACGCAATCTTGTACTGGTCATCAGGATGGACCTCTATCTGATGATATCTGGTCTTAGAGAAATATTTGCACCCCTGCACCCGATCTAAAAGATCGTCTATCCTGGGCAGCGGTTCAACATTCTTCACGGTAATCCCATTCAAACCCCTATAGTCTATGCACATACGTAGCTCTCCTTCCTTCTTTGGGACGAACAGGACGGGTGCTCCAAAAGGAGACGAGCTGGGGCTGATCCAACCTTTCTCAAGGAGCTCGTCTAACTGTTTGCGAAGCTCCTCTAACTCTCTAGGGGACWTCCTGTAGACTGCACCCTTAGGAGTTCTACTGCCAGGCTCTATCTCTATCCTGTGCTGGATGGGTCGCGACACTACTCCTCTCGGCGACTCAGTCAAGTCTTTGAATTCTTCCAGCAGCATGGCAGTTGTTGGATCTGTGGAACTATCCTTTTCCTGGGCCTCAGTGACAGGTCTAACATAAACTACAAAGACCTGTTCCTCTAACTGCTCCTTTTTGACTAATCGCGCGAACGCGGGAGCACTGAGACAGCAATGTGCCAAGGTATTGTCTACACCAGACACATGGAACAAGCGGGCAGTCTTAGCCTCGCCTGACGGACTAGGGAGCCTACACTCATGCTCTCTCAACTCGAGTGTGGCCCCTGCTGCCTCTCCCCAATCCATTCCTAAAACTACATCAAAAGGAAGGTCATCCTGCACGAGGAGAGTCAAAGAATGGAGGACCTTCTCCACTTTTCCATTCTGCTCTAGGCGAAAGTATGCCTGGACTCCCTCTACGTAGTCTCAACTCGCATCGTGCGGTTGTCTGCGAGAACACTGACTATAGGGTCTATTAACTTCTGGACCTTTAGTCCTAGCCTCAGCTTCTTCAGCGCCCTACGGCTAATATAACTACGGGTAGCCCCTGAGTCTATGAGGGCCCCTACTCTACTCCTAAACACCTCTACATCTWCTAAGATCAGTTGTCCCTTACTCTCCTTTTTCATTTTGGCCCAGGCTGGCATCCTCTCCTTTAACTCTTCTGCCACACCTGTGAGGGACGTGCCTAAAGAGACGCTAACACAAGCAGTCTCTTATCTAGGCACGGGCCTGCAACCTCTGCCATAGGCTCATGTGGGTTGGGAGTGTCCTGTTCGCGCKCGCTCACTTCTCCACATGGCCTTGAAGTAGGGGCAGTTGCGGCCCCTACTGGCAGCTGCCTTTTGACTGCTGAGCAGCCCAACGGGCCTGTCTATACTTTGGACAAAATTTGATAACGTGGGCCGGGTCACCACAGAATACGCACTGACCCATGTTCACGCGTTCTTGCCATAAGCGCTGGTCCAAGCCCAGATCTTCCCAGGGCCTGCCCTGCGGCAAGCCTGGGTGCCATCCTCCYTGAGGCGCCCTTCCACCTCCTCGTTGTGGGGACCGGTTACCCTGGCGATTTAACGGGGGACCTTGACCCCTACCTCTCGCTTGGCGGTTTCCCTGTCCGCCAACCCCCTGTGCACCCGGTCCTCAGCCTCCCATGGCCTGGCCCCTGTGGCCCTGGCCTCCTCCTCTGCCTTGCGGCCTCCCTCCGGCCGCGACAGCAGCGTAAGACCTCCCCTGCCCTACACAACTGTACTCCTCCCCTAGGCCCCACTCAATCTGATCATATGGGACCTCTTTTGTACCACCCTCCTCTAATGTCAGGATCAAGTCTTGACTTGGCCCGAGATGGTACGATCTTTCCACTTCTTCCCCTTCTCCAGGTCCTTATGCCAGAAAGTGGTAACTGGCATAGACTTCGACTCATACAGGACGACTTCTCTACTCAATACGTCGTAAGTCATGCCGGCTTGCTGAGATTTGTCAAAGAAATGCCCGTGTAGGGCTTCTGGAATGGCACGATAAAACAACTGGACCAGCTGGGGTTCAGTGACCCCGTGGTCCGGGACGGCTACCAAGTCGTCCATAGTACCCTTGAGTGCCTTAGCAGTCCTCCACTGCCGCGAGTGGATCGTTTGGAGCTTATCAGAGGCTCTAATGCCTCGCGTTGGGTCAGCGAACCGCTCCTTGAGGAGCTTGAGGAATTGGGAAAGAGGAGTGACCTGGCGAAGCTAGCCGCTTTTCCTTCAGGGCGTGGAAGGCCACGAGGACTTGCTCCTCCATCAGGATATGCTGCAAGTAAATATAACTGTTGACACTGGCTTCCCAGTTGTCAAAGTTCTCTTCCTTCTTCCCCCCGTACGCATCTGGGAACTTGAGTTTCACTGGGTCCTTACGGGGTCTGGCCTCTCCCTCTACAGCGGCTACTGCTTTGGCACCCTGAATGGCGCCCTCACAAAACTTCCCCACATTATCTCTCAATTGCTTCACTTCGCCCCCAATATGGGTGATGAACTCGCGCGCAAAATCTCTAAACCCTGACCGCATGGCACTCAACGCTACATGCTGGCTCCAGCTTGCCTGGCGCTCCTCCATCCAGGCCTTGCTCAACACCTCTAAATAGCCCAGTACTTTGTCCCACTTGGCCTTATCATCTGGCTGGGCCAGCACCTCCGCTCTACACTCCTGCACCTTTGCCACTGCGGCGGTCATCTTATTTACTTCTTCTCTCCTCCTCTTCTTCTCCCTCTTCATTCTCAACTTCCACGCTAACTTTTGCTCGTCTTCCCTCTCTCTTCGTTCCATTGGGTCTGTCATGGCCGCTAGCTCAGCGGCCAGCGCAGCCTTCTCATCCTTAGTCACATAGGACTCCGCCTCCTCGTCTTCCCCCAACGATAAATTAGCGACCCACTCGYTGATCTTCTTCTCCAGCTCAGTATCTGTCTCCCACTTTATCGTGCCACCACTACTTCCTTCCCCACTCTCAATTCTCATCCTCTCTTTCTCTTCTTCTGCTGCCGCTTCTGCTTCAGCAGCCTTCCTTCTTTCTTCCTCCTCCTGTTGTACCCTCTTCMTCTCCTCCTCCAATCTCTTCATCTTCGYCGCCTGCTCRTYTGCAATAGCCTTTAGCTTGGCTTGCTTTTCACGCTCTTTCCTCTCCTTATTCTCTCTGACTAAGGCGGCCATCTTTTCTTGCTGCTCAGTGGTGTAGGGGMTWGTCTCCTTCCCACTACGGGTCTCAACCATGGTGATAAGTGTACAACCGGGTTAGTGGTTCCAAACCTCACCACGTAGACGTCAACCCCTGACTGACAGACCTACTGACTCAATCKAAGACTCACAGAATCCTGACAGGGATCCTGTCAACTATGGTCTCTAGCCTAGACCTACACTATGGCTGTCACTACTGAACCAGTGGCTGATCAGGAGGCATTTAAGGAGATCCYCCGTAACTCCTCAAGAATTCTTTAACGTCGCAGACAAGACAACGTGATCAGCTTGGTTCTGCTTGTGCTTTCAGCCCACAACTCGGCCTTTCCAGCCTACTGTGCCACACCTAGCAGCCCGCCGGTCTGTACCGGTCCTTGGGAGGGTTCGTATCCCCCGGGACAGTCGAGTCGTCAGACACAGRTCMTCRGCCTTACTTGGTCTGGTAGGGGAGTGGTTCCAACAGGCCCTCAACACTTAAAGACGGCCTCCGTTTCAGCCTGCAGCTCAGAGTTCGGACCCTCTACACTGAAACTGAGTAGACCTGCCGGACAGTACCGGTCATTGGGCTAGACGAGTTGTTTAACGAGCGCTCGCCGCTCATGCCCAGGTCTCCAGATACCAGAGTAGAGATTGGTCCTACTAAGTCTCGTGCAGGTTTGGCAGCAAGTCCCTATCCTTCATCCACAGAGTTCTATGACCTAGGACAGAAGAGACTCAATGCAGAAAGAATAGACAGACAGACTGTACTCAGCAAGTACCAAGGGGTATGTGCACATCCATAGGGCAAGGGGCAGGCTAAGGGCTTGGCGAGATGTTACCAATTCCAGCTTGGTCAAAGTCTTGGTCAACGCCTTGGTCAAAGTCTTGGTCAACGCCTTGGTCAACGCCGGTCAACGCTGCTATGACCCTCGGTCAACTTCGGTCAACTCCGGTCAACGCCTCCGGTCAACCCTCTCGGTCAACTCACCGGTCAGCTATGGCAGCCGGCACTTCTTCCTCGCCAATCCTCTTCTTCTTCCTTACCTCCCTCGCC